GACTGGTCTTAGTAAGTATGCAACCAATTATTTACTGTCTCAGTGCTAAGGGAGTTCTCTTTTGGCTTGGGCAGTAAAGGCTTCTGGCTTTCATGCTGAAAAACCCATCTCTGATCCCATGATGCCCATGTGGTTTGTTTGTATCAAAGAATGTGGATCGTCACAACAGTTTTCTTTGCTCGGATGTCTGAAAATTTGTTCAGAAACAATCTTTTGTATGTGCTAAAAAAAGTATTCTATATTACAGCGAGATGCATCCTTTCGTTGCCTTAGGGGACTATCCCATTGGCAAACAAACTAAAGAATACCAAAAGACTGTCTGTGAATAGAACCACTCCCATCCCTTAGTCTGCTCCCTCTTCAGTAGCCTGAGAGAAAAGACATCTTTGCAACATGCCCAGAAAGTTGTTAAATATGGGCACTGGTGGGTCAGGGAGAGCGGGTTCTAAACCAAGAACCCCTCAACATGTCAGCTGTTTCCTCTCATTTATTCCATGAATACCCCAACTCCAGTGGCACTGCTGATCCTGTCTATGACCATATGTCACAGAGAGTCAATCTCTTAGGTATCCAGGTCCCAAACCATTTAAGTCATTTTTAATTTAAAGCTGATATCTCAAGTTCTACTCCAGCTTACTGAAAGCCAGTGAATATTATAGGGTACTGGTTTAATGGGCTCTCAAAGTGGAACTCAATAAATAGATCACAAGATTTCTGCACTTGCTTTAACTTTTGAATGTTCCCAAGCTGTAATCCCACACAGAGTGTATGATAGCAATCTAATCTTGAGGTAACAAAGGCCTGTATAATTGCAATAGGTCAACATGAGAGAGAAAAAGTGAGAACTTATCTTGGCAGATACAGATGGAGAAAGTGCTGTTTCATGTGGGGGAGGGGTGGAGCAGTATTAACGAGGTATCTCTTTGATATATTTTTTCTATTCTGTAAGGCAATGATGGTGCAGAATGAAATCCTAGACAGAATAGAAACTATGCATTATTTTTGTTGACAAACTTGAATCCCATTTGGTTAATATTAACAGGAGCTACACATGTAACTAAAGGAGAATATATGCTTATATGGAGGAGTAGTTACAGAAGCATTCATTTAATATTGTTACAAGCTGCCGTTGATTTTTATGAGTAATAGGGGAGCAGTTTGCCAATGAACTACTGTATAGAGAAAAAAAATGCTGTTTAAGATGGAATACTTTGAGCCTCTGGCAGTTTTGTAAACGTTTTCCATTACAAATAAGTTTCACATTATACATTATAAGCTTGTGTATTTAAACCTTTATGGGCCATACTACTTTAGTTAGAATTACAGTAAATTGTCATACTTTATTTCCATACTTATCTTGTAAAAATGCCTGTTGATGTTATTCTGAAGTGTATGTTCAGGACACATTAACACCAGTCATATTTTGGACAGCTTGTAGAAGATCAATTTGATTGTCTCACGGGGAAATAAAATTGTTTAAAAAAGACATCTCTATTAAAAAGATCAAGGAATTATGTATCTTTGAGTAATTAAATGAACTACAGAGAGGAGAAGGATGATAATAATCGGCTCACAGATAGTTTATACATGATTATAACTATCCACAGAATCATTTTTGTATTAATACAGTTTTCAAGAATTTGATGTAATTATAAAACTTTTTTTTTAATCTCTGTAGGAGCTTGGAAGTAACAGCCCTCCGCAGAGGAATTGGAAGGGAATTGCAATTGCACTGCTGGTGATTCTAGTTGTATGTTCACTCATCACTATGTCTGTCATTCTTTTAACCCCAGGTAATCTTTCTATATCTCTTTCTATATTTATATATGTACTTTCTTACTGAAGGTATTTTGAGTCAGAATATAATCTTCAAAATGACCTACAAATATAACATTAATTCTTGCCTTGGCACATTTTAACTTCTGGATGCTTGAATTTCAGTATCCAAAGCAGCCTCAGAATGACTTACTTGATGCATAGTTGGGATCTGCAATTGTACACCCACTCAAAATCTCCATTGGCTTCAGTACTATGTGAAATTAATTAAAGTCATGCGTGGCTGCTTCCTGGTGTTGTTTCAGATCCTTTGGCATGTACAGAAAATGTGCTAATACTGAACCTCAACCATTTATATTCAGCTTCACATATAAAATAAAATAAATCAGAGAAAAATAAAATTACTTAATTGATTTGCCAGAATATGAATATGCCTTTAAGCAAGTCCTGGACGATGTAAATTCCTACACGAGGAAGCTCAATTTTGCTGCCAATTTTCTTTATTCTAATTTGAGCCAAGAAATATTTTTAGATAAAGTACTTTTTGTGTTAGAGCAGTAAATTTTTAAACAGGGATAGAAGCCCAGATAGAACACAATGTTGTGTATGTTGCAAAGAAAAGAAAAATCTCATTCATTTCTATAGATGCATATCGGTGGTAAATTTTGGTCTGAAATTATTCTGTATTGGACATGTTACTCATTTGGTTTACATTTGAATATGCTTTTTAAATTGCATAGCTCTGGATTTACAAACCATTGATAAAACTATATATTTTTCTGATTAGTTTTAACTTGGATACATTTTCATGTTGTTGCATAATTATCTACTATAATTTATAAATCAATATGTATATAATCAATAATTAGATGTTACAAATTCATTTGTACATTTTAGTACTTGATGTTTTGGTTACTGCACAAACTGAATCATCACACCGGAAGGTGTGGTGTAGGATGTTTCGATAGGGAGAAGGTGTTTCCTTATATATCAAAAATATATATGTTTGCATAATTGGCTGGATAACTGTCCTCGGAGAGTAGTTAATGATGGTTTACAGTCATGCTAGAAGGATATAACAAATGGGGTTCCAGTGGGGATCAGTTTTGGGACAAGTTCTGTTCAATATCTTCATCAATAATGTAGATAGTGGCATAGAAAGTACACTTATAAAGTTTGCAGATGGTACCAAGCTGGGAGGGATTTCACACATACAGAATGGGAAGTGACTGCTTAGGAAGGACTAATTCAGAAACAGAACTAGGGGTCATAGTGGGCCACAAGCTAAATATGAGTCAACAGTGTGACACTGTTGGGAGAAGAACAAAACCAACAACAACCCAAAAAGCAAACATTATTCTTAGATGCATAGACACAAGAAGTAATTCTTCTGCTCTACTCTATGCTGAGTAGGCCTCAGCTGGAGTACTGTGTCGAGCTCTAGAAACCACATTTCAGGAAAGATTTCAGGAGAAACTGAAGAGGGTCCAGAAAACATGGGCATTAACCAACATGACTAAAGGTCTGGAAAACATTACCTATGAAAGAAGACTGAAAGAAGTGGGTTTGTTTAATTTGGAAAAGAGACCGACTGAGAGGAGACATGATAGCAGCTTTCAAGTACAGGCAGTCCCCGGGTTACGTACAAGATAGGGACTGTAGGTTTGTTCTTAAGTTGAATCAGTATGTAAGTCGGAACTGGCGTCCAGATTCAGCCGCTGTGGGACCAACCCAGCAGCACCCCATCTGCTCTACCCCAGGCGTCGTGGGCAGAAAGGCCTGGTCTGCTGGGGAATGGGGGGCACTAGCTGCGCCCCCCCCCCCAGCAGACCAGGGAGACGGGGAGCAAAGCCTCGGAGGACGTCCGCAGCGGGACAGCTGCGGTGCGCCTGGGGTGTCCCGCTGCGGGCGTCCTCCGAGGCTTTGCTCCCCATCTCCTTGGTCTGCTGGTCAGACCAGGGAGACGGGGAGCAGCTTTTATCACCCCGGAGAACGTGGGCGGCGGGACCATGGCACATCTGGGAGTCCCGCCGCTCCCGTCCTCTGGGGCAAGAAAAGCCCCGTTCGTAACTGCGGATCCGACATAAGTCGGATCCGCGTAACTCGGGGACTGCCTGTACCTAAAAGAGTGTTACAAGGAGGAGGGAGAAAAAGTATCCTTTGATGATAAGACAAGAAGCAACGGGGAAAACTTCCTAATTGTCAGGGTGCCTAAACACTGAAATAAATAGCCTAGGGAGAGACATTTGAGAGTTGTAAGAGCAGATTAAACAGACCTCTATCAGGAATTATCTAGATGGTGCTTGCTCCTCCTGTGAGGGCAGGGGATGGGATCTGATGACCTCTCAGAGTTTTTTCTAGTTCTAATATTTTATGTTTCTAAAAGATATCCACTATATACGTGAAACACTGGGAGGGTTATGGTGATTGGTGACTCCCTTTTAAATCAGACAGAAGAATCCATCTTTAGCCCTGATCTGACATCCTGGAGGGTGTGGGGCCTGCAATGGGCCCATATCTGAAATGTTATGGAAGGACTGCTGAGTGTCATCTGGCCCTTTAGACTGTTATCTTATGCTGCTTGCTCATGTCAGTACTTATGATAATGAAATATATGACCCTGAACAGATCAGAAGAGACTCTGGGACTCTTGGAATGATGGTGAAAGAGTCGGGGGCACAAATGGTATCCTTGATCCTTCCAGTCTAGGATAGGGATCTGAGCAGAGGCAGACATATTTGATGGATCAGGAGACGGATGCCCAAGTAAAAGTTCAATACATGAAAATCTGGATGAAGAATCAGAATCTGTTGAGAATATGGGAAATTGCAGCATGGAGAAAGGAGAGGGAAAAAGAAACATAGAGCAGAAATCTAATAAACATCTTAGATGACTGTATACTAGTGCAAGGAGTATGGGAAGGAATTTAAAAATACTAGTGAATCATCATTAATATGGTATAATTGGGATAATTCACATGACTGAAATATTGATATAAAATATACAGTGTGTTCAAGGGAAGCCAGGAAAAAGAGAGTAGATGTTTCCTTGTATATCAAAATATATGGCTGTGTCTACACTGGCACCCTTTTCCGTAAAAGGGATGCTAATGAGACACTTCGGAATTGCAAATTCTGCAGGGGATTTCAATATCCCCCGCGACATTTGCATGAACATAGCTGCCACTTTTTTCAGGCTCGGGGTTTTGCCGGAGAAAAGTGCCAGTCTAGACGGGATCTTGCGGAAAATAAGGGATCTTACGGAAAAGGGCTTATTTTCCGCAAGATCCCGTCTAGACTGGCACTTTTCTCCGGCAAAACCCCGAGCCTGAAAAAAGTGGCAGATCCTGTCTAGACTGGCGCTTTTCTCCGGCAAAACCCCGATCTGGAAAAAAGCAGCAGCCATGTTCATGCAAATGCCGCGGGGGATATTGAAATCCCCTGCGGAATTTGCAATTCCGAAGTGTCTCATTAGCATCCCTTTTACGGAAAAGGGTGCCAGTGTAGACCCAGAGGTTGAGATAGAAGTGGGAGGTAGACCTGTTGATCTATGTCTGGGTAAGGATATATGGGATAGAAAATAAGGGTGATGACATGGCAGGGTGTCTACTATAAACCACCTAACAAGGAAGAAGAGAAGGCTGAGACTTAAAAAAACAATCAACCAAACAAACAAAATCCATCCCCTCCTCAAAAAAAAAAAAAAAAAACAGAAAAACAAAACCCCACCAACCCTATCTGCCATAATCATCCAAACACAGGACTTGGTGAAGATAGGGATTTTCAACTGTTCGGACAACTTTGGGAAAATAATATAGCAGGGTATGGTTTATTCAACAAATTATTGGAATACATTGAAGACAACTTTTTATTATAGATGGTGGAGAAAATGAATAGGAAAGAGAATATCCTGAATTTGATTTTGACAATTAGGGAGGCACAAGTTGAGAAACGATAAGGTTGAAAAAAGTGGCCTTTTTTAAAAAAAATATCCCCTGCTTATAGACTGCTGCCGTGTTCTTTCAAAAGTAAATTGAAAGAATGCAGCAGTTTTTTCTGACCACGGAAAACCTTGTTTTATGAGAAATAACACCTTTTTCGAAAGTGCTCTTTCGAAAAAAGGCTCCATGTAATGCAAACTGTACTTTTTCAAAAAAAAAGCATCCAGGCTGCCTGGGTGCTCTCTTTCGAAAAAGCAGCTTGCCTTTTCAAAAGTACTGGTTGTAGTCTAGATGCTCTTTTTAGAAAGAGGCTTTTTCAAAAGTACCTTTCGAAAAAGCCTCTCTCAAAAGAGGCTTGCAGTCTAGACGTAGCCAAAATGAACATATTGTCCTATATTTTCTGTTTTCCCCACATCAATACTAGTGGGTCCTGCTGCTGACTGGTTCCCTGCTTGCCAACCGCCTGCCAACCAACAGCAAATGGGTGGCTCCAAAGGCTGACGATGGGGGTGGCTGTGCAAGGTTGGTGGTGAAGCAAAGGTGCAGTGTGTGGACACTGCCCCTGCAGGTGTGTCAGCCAGAGCTGTCCTGCCCATAGGATGGTTTGTGGTGGTTGCCCCAGACCTTGCTTTGGGGGTCCCAGCTTCAGAGGAACATGGGGCCTGGGTGGCCGGGAGGCTGGCAACAGTGCTACTATCCCCACTCTGCTCCACCTCACTGGCTCCTGGCATCACTCAAGAGAGGAGGGGCAGGGAGTTGGGACAAAGGGTGTGAGCTGTTCTGTTTCAAGGGGGTAATGGCTGTTAGCTGTAGTAGTTGGTAACATCATGTCTCTGCTGCCCACCCATTGGCTCTTTACATGCTCCCCCGTGCTCTGTCTTCTCCCTGTTTTATCCCTTCGCCTCCTCCCCCAAGCTGTGCTGTTCCACCATATCCCCCCAGAGAGGCATGTCCCACTCCCAGCACTTTGTGGAGAACCAGGCCTTGGTTGGAGCTCCAAGCTCATCCACAGCATGGCTCCTTCCTTCCCTCACTGCCACTGGCTGGGCCAATGCCTTCAGGAAAATCACAAATTTG